GGTTCAGACCTCTTACTGGTTCAGCACTTACCCATTCAGAAGTTGCCAAACAGCCCCTAAGTTGTTTTTATGGGCTCAAATTACTTAAATGTTATCACTACCAGTCTACCACTACCAGAAGTCTTGTTTAGTGATGTATAACTTCAATTTAATTGTTGTCTGTTACACAGATTTGCAGCAGCTCTGAAGGACTTGAATGTGTGGGTTATGAACATTATTTCTGTAGATTCCCCCGACACACTTCCCATCATTTATGAGAGGGGTCTTTTTGGAATTTACCATGACTGGTGTGAATCGTTTAGCACATACCCGAGATCCTATGATCTTCTCCATGCCGATCATCTCTTCTCCAAGATTAAAGCAAAGTGCGTTTCCCATATATCGTAATTATATACCTATGCATACAACTGTTGCTTATAGTAACATCACTACAATCTAACATTGGAGATTTGCAGGTGTGGATTACCAGCATTGGTTGCAGAGGTGGATAGGATTCTGAGACCAGAAGGAAAACTCATAGTTCGTGACAGTGTGGAGGTCATAGGGGAGCTGCAAACCATGTTGAAGTCGATGCACTACGAGATTCGGATGATGTATTCAAGGGACAAGGAAGCGCTGCTCTGCGTCAAAAAGACAATGTGGCGTCCGGAGGAAGTGGAGACAGTCACTTATGCTGTTGAGGGAAATTAAGCATGTAGCTGCTGCTGCACTTACTTCATTGGGTGTTTTTTTTTGTATCTTTTCTTCATTGATCATTTCTTTTTGGTAATTAATGTATTGTTCTCAGTGTATCATTGTTAGGCATTTAGGTTTGACTTTTGAGTGGGATTGGGGTTAAATAACATTGTTTACCTGTTCTCCAGTTGTGTAGGGAATATTACAAGAATCCAAAGTTGTAATGATTAGGCTAAAACAATAAACTCTAATGAGAGTAATTTCGACTTTTAGTTTATTTATTTGTGGTGTTTCTTTTTTGGTTTTTCTAATTTGATTCTTGTACCAAAATAAAATTTACACCATGATTCATAGAGTTTTAGAAAAGTGTTGAAAAATGAAAAATATTTGGAGAAAAATATTGGTAGGGTAGGGAGGGGGGGCTGGGGTGGGGGGTTTAGGGGAAGGGTTAGGGGGGTAGGAACCGTCGTTTTTACAAACGGAGCACTGTAGGTACTCTAAATGAATTGGTGTAAGCAAATGACACCCGTAGCACTGGTGTCATTTTAGACTTACCGTATAAATAAATATAGCTTCTTTATACTCCGTAATATTCTATTAAAATTTGTAACATTTCTTTTAGAAGTGGTGGTAGAAGGAGACATCCTTTACAAATTGTTTACAATTTCCTTTAAAGAGCTCCCCAGAGCCCACATTTGTCCACGTCTCAACCCAAAAAACAGAGTATAGCGTTGGAGCTTCCAACGCCATTTGTTTTCTTTCTCAGCTTCGATCACAAAAGTGATCGGATTATGCTTCGAACGGCAATACGGAGTACCAACTATGATGAAGAACGCTCTGAAGCTTGCGAGAGCGTTCGGCAATGCGAGGAACTCTCCATCCATTGGTGCTCTGAGACTTGATCAGTGCACTGTAGGATCAAGGTTTCTGCGCTGGATCTCTTCCCAATCTTCCGCAGCCGTTGACGGCTGCGCTAAGAGGTTCGCCGTTTTGTGGGGAAACGGAGATTTCGGGAGGCTGGGACACGGCGGCATTGAATCGCAGTGGCGTCCTAAATCCCTGCTGCCGTCCGCTTTTCATGATCAAAGCCTCCGCGACATCGCTTGCGGCGGGGCTCACACTCTTTTCCTCACAGGTTCGTTATCTCCATTAGGTTTCTCTTTTTTTTTTTTTTTAATTATGATTCGAAATGAAATCGATCTTTTAGTTTGAGTTCATTAAGAGTGTACTAGATTATTTGATATGAAGATGAATTTACTTGATTGCTTGATTTGAAGCCGATTTCCCCTAGAGCAAAGATATGCTGGAAGTAGTTAGTTGCAGAAAAATTGTCCACTTTTTTTTTCCTGGTTTTGTAACCTTTTTTTAGTTTGAGTGCATTAGAGTACTTGATTGTTGATTTAAAGGTTAATTTCATTCTTGTTTGCCTAAATTTTCTACAAACAATAAAACCAATATGGCAATATTCATAGCGGATAGAACTTCCCCTAGAAGATGCCTGAGACCAATATGCCAAATGTGCAGACTGGGGCAGACCCACACTGGTTTGAGTGGGGTCAGCTGGAGTCACTCCGATCGGGGGCAGACCTACATTATGGTACAATAAAGTCAAGTGACACCATTAAATTTTGTATAAGTCCATTGAATGTAGTGTTATACACAGAAGTTAACGTAGCTTATGTGGTTGGCATGCAAATGACAAGTGTTATCGTACATGGTTTGTAACTCATCCCTGGGTTTTGTTTTTGGGTTTTTTCCTTTTTTCAAAGGAAGCAACATTGTTTCTCTTTTCTTTTAGAAATATGCAGTATTTTTTTTAGCTTCCTATATGTAGTATGAAGAAGTTAAGGCTTTGAATCTCACTCTTAACAATCTTTAAGATTCTTTCAATTTAAATTAAATACTTGGTAAATACAATGTATCAACCCTTTCCGTCATGAAATTTATGATTTGTTATAATTGCAAAATGCGAAAATTTATATTGCAACGGAAAAAATTAAAATGTAAAATTTATTTTTAGAAGCACAAACTACATCAAATTTAAATTAATTATTTTATTTTAATAATAATTAAAATGAATAAATAGTAAAAAAATAGCTTGACAGTAAAGTCCGATCATAAAAGTAAAAATATATATATAAAATAAGAGATGAAATATTAGAGAAAAAAATATTTTGGTTTAAAAAAATAAGTCCTATTTTTTTAAATGTATATTACATATTTTTTATACGAAGCAATCATAGTATTTTTAAAACTGACACCACTCTTTACTATTCCTGGGCCCGCCACTGATTGGAGAGGAAAAGGCCACTTTTTTTCCCTGATTTCCTAATCTGGGAAAGATATTTGTATGCTTAACGGCTATAGTATCCCTTGTTCTGCTTTAGACTCTTCTTGAGGATTGATTTTCTTGAAAAGTTTGCATGGACTCCAACTGCATCCTTGAATGGTTTGAGAATTGAGATATACTCAACTCATTCTTCTGGTCCTCTTTGGGTATCATACTTGAAAGTACTTCTCCTTTACTGTGTTGCCACTTTGTGTATAAACTGCTGGAAGATCTCATAGGGAATTCAAAAGTGAGATAGTCATACGCTAACAGTCCTTTTTTAACAGAAAATGGCAGTGTTTATGCATGCGGTCTCAATGATTTTGGTCAACTAGGCATTCCGGGCGATAAAAGTTATACTCCTGTATGAGCTACCATTTATTGTCTTTCCTACTGTTTCATAACTTTCATTCTGGACTTGTGCACAACTTGTATTTCTGAAGGGAGATGTGCAACTTTAGTTTTGTTTAAATACTTTAAATGCTAATAATGAATCTTATTATTCTAGTTGCTTTTCTTAGTGTAAATTTTTATTTTTGAGCAACTTTATTTGTTCTTCAATTGCTTGTGTTTGTGTTTAAATGTTAAAAGTTAACTTAAATGTACTCCCTCCCTCTGTCCCAGACATGGGGTATAGACATGTGGCTAGAGGAAGAGGTAGACGGCCCGTAGACCTAAGAAGACATGGCACGAAGTGGTCAAGGGGGACCTTCGCGTGAATGATCTTGTTGTAGATATGGTACATGATAGGGCAGAGTAACGTCGTTTGATCCATGTAGCCGACCCCACCTAGTCGGATAAGGCTTTGTTGTTGTCTTTGTTGTACTCCCTCCGTCCCGGACATGGGGTTATGGCCTATGGGAAAGTGGAACTGTGTGGCTGTATTGAGTTTATAAAGTATGAGTTGATTTGAGCCACATAATTATATCAAATAATCAAATATGGTTCGGGACAAAAAATCAGAACGACCAAGGGACAAAAATAGTGGGATAGACTGATATATGATGAATTGTTTATAAACTGACATAAAATCACTGTTGCAGGAGCCAGTTCGTGTGGCTACCCTTCCCAACGACATTATAAAAATTTCTGCTGGTTATCATCATTCTTGTGCTATCACAGGTGTGGAATAAATGACCAACATGGATATATTGTTTACTTTGAATAAATATGGATAAAATATTTATTCTGTGTATTTGCTTGCTGTTATAGTCATCATATGCATATAAATATAACTCCAGTATATATGTAGGTCTTGTCTTACAATTTCCATAGAGCTGGAGTTTTGCTTGAGATTTTCCTGAACTTTGCTCAACTATGTCTACATCATTCGTTTCCTGAATTTTTGCAGTTAAATTTATGCTTTATGCCTTGAATACTTTTATGTTGTGTTGCAGTTGATGGTGAACTCTATATGTGGGGAAAGAACACGAATGGACAGCTTGGCCTTGGAAAAAGTAATAATTTTTTCTTATGCTACTTTACTCCTTAGGTTGAGTTACAAGTGATCTAAGTCTTACTGTTGTCTGTTGCTTGAGAATTTAATGCCATATGTATTTGATAATATCAAAAAAATTGGTGGAATAATTTAACTTGTTGAATCTTTACTATAATTGTCTTCAGAAGCCAATAAAGTAGTTTCCTTTCCGAGAAAAGTTGAAAGTTTAAACGGGCTAGCTGTAAAAGCAGCTTCCTTGGGTTTTGAGCATTCAATTGCTGTTACAGGTATGAGATATGATTCTTTGCATCTTGAACATGAAAAAGTGTTCTTAACTCAGTGTGCTCTGTTGATCTTAGACTTAATGAATACCTAAGGAAAACTAGTACAGGATATATATCTTTTTTTAACAGATAATGGTGAGGCCTTGAGTTGGGGTGGGGGAGGCTCTGGACAACTTGGTCATGGACTTCATTCAGGAATTTTTGGAGTATTAAAAAGTAACAGGTCCATTGTGATGGTTGATAACATTCTACCATCTTCTATATGTTGGCTTATGAAGTTTTGATAGAGTGATCCTAAACTTACCCAGACTTCTTCACAAGGAGAACAAGTTCTGTTCTAATGGACTATCACACATGCTTTAATGTGTTCTCCACCTTCCTTTTGGAGCATTAATGTGTTCTCCACTTTCCTTTTGGAGCACTGTGATGTTATTATATCATCACTCTACTGTAAACATCATTTACAAATTATTATTGTCTTATCTTAGGCTAGGAGAAATCATTTCATTATCACTCTACTGGAAACATTCAGCAAATGATATTATTTGAAGTATGGATTTCCCAATGTATGCTATGGTCTCTTACAGGAGTTACAGCATGAAAAGGAATGTAGAATTTTATTAGTTCCCATCGGTAAAATACAGGGAAAGGGGGATACAACCTCTGGTTCAGATAGGGAATGAACTGAGAGGAAAAAAGAAAGAACAATGTTCTCTAATTCTATTTTACTTTCTAATCGTTCTACTCCTTTATTTTCATTCCTCTTCTAAGATATATCATTCTGGAGTGGTTTGAAAAACATTTTATTGCGTCTCCCATCACAAATTAAAATTTTAAAATTTTTCTGCAGTGTATTTTTTACATTAATTTACTTTTTTGACATTAAGGGTGAGTTTGTTATTGCGGCGCATACAAGAAGTGGTGTGAAACACAATGTTATGTACAAAAAATTTTCATGCTAACCTATATTGAAGACATCAAATGTGCCTCCACATGTTTCATTATGGACTCTCATGTCATCGGTAGTTAGCTTTCAGTTATATGTGTATCCGGCAGAGTATTGTTTCATGCTTAGTCACTTAATTAGTGTTGCCTTTGAATGCAGTGAATATGCACCAAGACTTATAAAGAAGCTTGAGAGTGTGAAGGTACACTAAGCCCTATAAGTTCTTATGCTTTTTGGTCATTCAAGCTTCCTTTCAAAATCAGTATATGCCTAGTTCTAGCTTGTCATTGGATTCTCTAGGTGGGTGACATCACTCTTTTCTAAATAGGTTAAAGAAGCTGGTGCTGGGATGTTGCATTCTGCCTGCATATGTGGTAATGTATTCACATCTTTCAGACAATTTTTAAAAATACGATATGTAAGATAATTTGAGAATATTTTCCTTTTTTTGTTCCACTTATTTAACTATTTATTTATTAATCTTGTCATGATTTCACAGAAAAAGGATGTGTATATACTTTTGGACGAAGAGCAAAGGAAAATTTTGTAAGTGTCTAGAACCTAATGGCTATACATTTATACTTCCTATTTTTATAATTTACTTAGATTGTCGCTGCAATCAAACTAAATTTGTTCTCCTTAAATTGTAGGGCTTTGGTGAAAACTACGATAGAGAACCATCTATGATATGCGAGTTACCATCTTCAGAAATGATTGCATGTGGTGGTTATCACACATGTGTTGTCACAAGTAATATTCCATTTTGTTAATCTAACAATAGTTTACATTTATGTGAAAGAAACCAATTGTACTTTGTAACTAGAGATCATATAATGACAATATATAGGCTATACAAAAAGCAAATAATGTCTTGATGAAGTACCCTCTTGTTTCCCCATCCATTGATCATCGTCCTAAGTCCAAATGTTAATGCAGTCAGCTCTTAAGAATGTTAAGCTAATAAACTATGAAACTACTCGTAATAAAATTTCCTCCTTTCCTGTTGATATAATGTTGATATGATCTTCTTCAACCTGGATTCCTTGTCTGCAGTTGGTGTTAAGTGCCGTTTGGCAACAATATTCAACAGAAGCATTTAGCTTTAATGTTTTTAAAGTAAATTTGTACCATTATCCAAAATTTTGGCGCTAGCTCAAAATTCTGTTCTCAAACAGGGCCTAAGTATTTTATATTTTTCTGTATTATTAACATGGTCTTCTTATGCAGAGGGAAGTCTCTTGAAAATTGAAATACTTAATCCAGTTCTGAATGTATGGTATAATATAGCCTGTTCATCAGTACTTACAAAATCTGGTTTGCACAATATTTTTGTTGTAGGTGGTGGAGAGCTGTATAGCTGGGGCTCTAATGAGAATGGCTGTCTCGGAACTGGGTATGTTGTTAAAATAACATATGCTACTCTTTTTAAGTACTTATGTTCATTTATCTCTGAGTGTTTGATATTCACCTATATATGTGCACCAGTTGTACAGATGTTACATATTCACCTGAAAGGGTTCAAGGTCCATTTCTGATGGATTCTGTTTACAAGGTTTGTTATAGACTTATGGGCATTTATCCCTGTACTGTAATTGGTACTCCGTATTTAGTAACAAAACATTCTTATCAGACTATATGCTTTTCCTTCTATTGTTTTCAATGTTTTGGGCTATCCGTTTCTTTCCATTTCAGAACAAAGCTTAATTACAAATCTATACACCCCCTTTGTATTTTGAAATTCAAAATTTGAAATTTAAGAATTTAAATCCAACAATTTAAATTAATTTCTAAGGTAAAACATTTGATGGAGGGTGCAACAAAAAATACATTAAACTTTTGAGGTTGCATTTTGATTATTTGCCACCTTTTGATGGTGCGAAATGCATTTTCCCCATCTATTTTTCCCTAATCTTCTCTTCACATTCTCAAATTATATTACCTTTGCTGATTTTCGGTATAATGACATTGGGTAGGGATGGACAATAAATATCATCGAATTATTGCCATCCATGTCCACATTCTGACTTCTAGTTTCAGTTTCTGTGTTACTGTATCCTCAACCTGAACATTGGAAATTGTGGCAAAAGGTTCTTTCATTTTTCCTACCTCATTGTGGGAGCCTAAATGACCTGGCCCTTCCTCAGACCATGTATATGTGAGAGCTGTTGCATTGGGTTGCTCTTGAAAAAAGGTCCATGTGAAATAGATTGCCCGGGCCTTTGGTTCTCATTGTAGATAAAGTCTCTAGAGTTTGTCATCCAGGAACGGAGCAAGGGTTTGCATATCCGCCTGAGACACCTGCATACACGCATCTATATCTATATAAGATGTCATTTTTATGTGACTACACGTGCTTTTTTACAGGTATCTTGCGGTTGGAAACATACAGCAGCAATTTCTGGTAAGGCCATTGGAATAAGGATTAGAAGTCACTACGTCAAATTTATGTATTTTAAATAAATTTTTTTCTACTATCAGAATTTTCTACTTCAATAAAATAAGTGTACCCTCAGAATAAGTCACAAATTGAAGAGTTTTGAGGCATTTACATCTATTCTCCATTTCTTCTTAAATTTCTATTTTTTCAGCTTTTATTCAGATGGGTATACTGGGCCGAGAGATAGATATCTATTAAATAGCCCAATATACGTATCCGAGTCGTGGCCTAAGCAGCCAAAGATCTTAATTCAAATGAATCAATTAGATCATCAAATGTTTGCTACTCAGTTTGTTTCAAATAGATTAGTCTTTGCACTTTTCTTTTATTCATGTGCTGATAAGTGAGTTACCCTTAGCAGGAGGCAATGTTTATGCATGGGGGTGGGGAGGTTCCCATGGATCATTTTCTGAAGACGGACATTCTTCAGGCGGACAATTGGTACCTTAACTTTCAGTCGATGCTACATTTTTCGGGTTTTTTTCTCTATTTCAATTCAAACAACAACAACAACAATAATAGTAATCCAAACAAAAATATTTTCTTGTGCAGGGGCAAGGAGATGACAGAGACCACATTGAGCCTGGAATGGTTAAATTTCAGGTTGGCGTTAGGGCATTACAAATTTCTTGTGGATTTAATCATACAGGTGCTGTAGTTGAATGTACATGAACCAACAAGCCTATCTTGTGAAACACATAAATAAGATTGGTTATATCATGTGTTGTAAGTTGTAATTAACTCTCCACTTCCTACTTACTCAATCATCATCATCGTTCAACAATAATAAGACATTACGCCTCTGTGTTTATAACGGAATAGTCTTTCTTAGGACCTTGGTTTTATGTACTTTGGCAAGTTCCAATAATTTTTTTCACTAAAGAATATAATGAACTCCCTAAATTTAGGATTAAACTGTTTTTAAGGTGTACACCAACTTTGTGTCCACCATTGTTTACAGTTCACTGATAAATGTTGTATTGTCACTTTGTATTATCCCGTAGTACTTGATTATGGTTAGGAAAGCCGAATTAAGTTTCGCATTCCATCCTAAAGAATCCAACATTAACATTATACTAGTGCATCACCTGTGCGATGCACGGGGATATAGTACATACATCATTTGATATAAATATGAAAAAATGTTAATTATCTTTTTTTACATTTAAATTATGTAATTACTTTATTATGTACAATAAATAATTTGTCATTGTGTATTACTGACACTTAAAAAATCTCAAAAATAGTCTACACGCATTTGATGATAGAGACAATTCGATCAACCAACTTTTGATATGTACATATATCCAGAGATGGATCCACGTTGAGTCCCACGGGGTCTCGGGACCCCACGAGTCTTCACGTAAGATCTTATATGTAAGTATTATATGGAGTACTTAGTAAACTCCGAATTGTCAACACTGGATAGGGTAGTAGGAGCAGATTTGTTCGATTCTCACGCCCTCTTGGTTTTTCCATTATTTTGCCTTCTTACTTGATGCTTCTCCTTACTTTTTTCGCATTTCCTTCAAAAAAAATATCAATTTAATTTTATATTTTCTTTGGAAAAAATTACTCTAGGTATCTCCTATTCTGTCAGGTCCCATTAATTTTAGAAATGTACTGCGGGGTCCATTTAGTTATCCAATAATTAATTGGGATACATTCTGTCAAACCCACCGTTAATGGCAGCCTCTGCGCCACGTTCCTTATTAATAGCATTTGAAATTCCAAATGTAACCCTCAGTCCTCTTCTTCAAGTACTTGTATGGGTTGATTTGAGAGGGATATTTGTTGATTTAGAAATTAAATATTCTCAGGATTTGATAAAATCCTTATTTAAGAAGATATAGTTTATCTGTTTGAATTTTAGGTTGTTTTCGAAACGTAGTCCAATTTTGAAACGATTATGTTTTTAAGAAAATAAATATAATATAACAATGTATTAGGAATATTTTTCCCAAAACTTTTTTTCAGGCTGGACCCACACGCTTGAAATTAGATATTTAATTTAATTAATTCTTTTTAACCGATTTTCATGGCGTTACACGTCCAAGAAGATGATGTGCAATGAGATTTGCATGGATGGTTACTGTCATCTAGTTTGATAGAGGTAAGAGATTGAAGATTCCGAACAAAGAGCTTGAGATAGGTAGGGAGTTGATCCATCAGATCTACAAAAGAGGGGGCCATAGCGATCGACAGGGGAGAACCCTAGGGTTATCATATTTTTTATCGAGTTTTTTGTTTTTTGAAGTGTGATATTCTTTTTGGGACAGAGGAAATACTTATTTTGACCAATCCTAGCATTTGAAACATAGAAATAAACTACAAAGTAAAAGAATTTTTTACATCAATTACCCCAAAACTTTTCAAAAATTGCACGGTTCACCCTGAACTTTAAAAATTGCACTAATGTCTCCTGAACTTTTAAAAATGTTACACCAATGGTCCCTCCATGTCAGATTTCAGAGTGCGTTAATTAAACGTGCATCAATTACGTGTTGGAGCTTGATGAAGATGTCATATTGCAGAACTCACGTGTGATATATGACTTTAGATGACTTCATACTTTACACTAGATGAGCGTGTCATTATCCCGCTCTCAAATCTGGCATAGATGGACCATTGGTGCAACACTTTTAAAAGTCCGGGCATTGGTGCAATTTTTAAAGCTCAAGGGAAATGCATGCAATTTTTGAACAGTTCAAGGAGAAATGACGCAAAAAACTTGAAAGTTAAATGAAAAATGAATATTCCTTTTGTCTGATAACAATTTTCTTATTTTAGAAAAAAATATATGGTTTAAAATATATCTCTTTTAAGGTAAATTTTAATCACTCATTCTTAACTATTTTGAATCCTGGTAAGATTAAAGTAAGTAAATAAATTTGAAAGGTGGAGAATAATTACTATGGATGGACATCATGGACAAGCTAACGAATTGGTAATCACTCCATGTTGAGAATTTAAAATGAGATGAGAATATGGGATGAGATGGGAATTTTGGCATGGAGTTTAGTCAACAAATTGATGTGAACTTAGGTAGTTTTTTGACTAAAAGGAAAATGATTCATTTATTACTACTTTTTGCAAGTCTTGTAGCTGCTTTGTACGGAGTATAATTTACTAATTTGAGTTGTGCCAGCTAATCCAAAAATTTTGACATTGCCATTAATCTTATGGTCAAAGTTAATAACTTAGATGTGGCACTTTAGTTATTGTCTGTATGCATATGTGCAAAACATATTGTGCGGTGTTGGTTATTCTAGTTTATTTTTGTATTTTTTGTCTCAAAATATTTTCCATATAATGCAAAATGAAAAAAAATGTCATATTTTTTCAGCTTATATTCAGATGGGTATACTGGGCCGAGAGATAGATATCTATGTAAATAGCCCAATATACGTATCCGAGTCATGGCCTAAGCAGTCAAATATCTTACTTCAAATGAATCAATTAGATCATCAAATGTTTGTTACTCAGTTTGTTTCAAATAGATAAGTCTTTGCACTTTTCTTTTATTCATGTGCTGATAAGTGAGTTACCCTTAGCAGGAGGCAATGTTTATGCATGGGGGTGGGGAGGTTCCCATGGATCATTTTCTGAAGACGGACATTCTTCAGGCGGACAATTGGTACCGTAACTTTCAGTCGATGCTACATTTTTCGGGTTTTTTTCTCTATTTCAATTCAAACAACAACAACAATAATAGTAATCCAAACAAAAATATTTTCTTGTGCAGGGGCAAGGATATGACAGAGACCACATTGAGCCTGGAATGGTTAAATTTCAGGTTGGCGTTAGGACATTACAAATTTCTTGTGGATTTAATCATACAGGTGCTGTAGTTGAATGTACATGAACCAACAAGCCTATCTTGTGAAACACATAAATAAGATTGGTTATATCATGTGTTGTAAGTTGTAATTAACTCTCCACTTCCTACTTACTCAATCATCATCTTCGTTTAACCATAATAAGACATTACGCCTCTGTGTTTATAACGGAATAGTCTTTCTTAGGACCTTGGTTTTATGTACTTTGGCAAGTTCCAATAATTTTTTTCACTCAAGAATATAATGAACTCCCTAAATTTAGGATTAAACTGTTTTTTAAGGTGTACACCAACTTTGTGTCCACCATTGTTTACAGTTCACTGATAAGTGTTGTATTGTCACTTTGTATTATCTCGTAGTACTTGATTCTGGTTAGGAAAGCCGAATTAAGTTTCGCATTCCATCCTAAAGAATCCAACATTAACATTATACTAGTGCATGTGCACATACATCATTTGATATAAATATGAAAAAATGTTAATTATAAACGAGATCAGCCAAAGTGCTACAATCAAATCTGTCGCTATCATATCTAGATATGTTTTCAAATTAATAGAAGAAGTTTGATTATGACAAATCGTACATGAGACGCTACCCGAACGTCATCACTTATGAGTACGAAGACTCATTAAAAATGATAAATGAGAGCTACCATGAAGATGAATGAAGAAATGTTTCGACACAAGGTCGATGAATGACAAACTACTGTACAACCGATCGACTGTATTTCCTCCTAAATGATGACAAATCCTATATCCTGAAAATCTTGGACCACTAAAAGACGTTTGACGTAATTGTGAATCATTGTTGAACTATGTGAACGATACGAAGTTATCTCAAAGTGAAATTTACGTTATGATGTGTGAATTGAAGACAACTCCAATCTCCCACTACATCTATCGCGAACTTGCTAATTTGAAACTGCAAAGGCTACTGAAGGACTTTCAATCAAAGAAAGAAATATCGTTAATCAACGTAGTACAATTGGGAATTGTGAATAAACAAAGTTATGAGCGAGTATGTCAAATATACAACCGTATACATTCCAAAGAAACCTTAGTTGTTGACACTGAAGGATCACTGAATGTCTTGCTTAATGAAAGATTATTAATCTCTTGAAGAAAGAACGAGTTGCGTAACATCGACAGTTTGAGAATAACTATCAATGTGGATAATGACATGATTATGATTTAACTGAATGAACATGACGCGGTCATGATTAAGTGAGATCACTACGAAATGTTGAACGTCGGACCTTAGAAGAATTTCGAGGACGAAATTCCTTTAAGGGGGGGAGAAATGTAACGCCCTAAAATATACCCTAAAATTTATTGAATTAAATATTCAATTTTATCAAATTTGTTTTGATTAAAATAAACGTTTGTTGGGCTTTGGGCCCAAATGAAATATGTTTAAATATTCAATATTACAATCTGGATAAATCTTTTAGAGAAAAATCCAATATGTTGAGTTGTTGACTTATTGTGTGAGCTTGATTGGGAACCTGAGTACAGACCCAAATTAAGAATAAATGAAGAAATCGTTTATAATGTGAACTTTGAAATGATTTATTGAAATAAATCATGGAAATAAATGATATGAATTAAATGTGAGAACCTTTTTGAATAAAAGTCAATTAAACCAATTTTGACTCTATCAAAGTCAACCACCCAAAAATATGATGTCGGAAAAAGTATAACGAATAAATGTAAAAAGTATATCATTGGATAGAGTTTAATTGTACGACCGCAATGGTGCAAACGGATTTCAATTCAGAGAAAGTTGGACCAAAAAGTATACCCGACTGGGACCAAGTTAGTCCCAATCAGAGAGTAACGTGCTGAGTCTCCTTAAGTCGCACTATCGCCGAAAGAAGAACGTGAATTTCCTACTCAGCATCTACTCAGACTTTGTTTCCTTCTTCTTCATCTTCCCTATAAAAAGGGGAAGCTAACTTCCTCAT